AAATATTGAAAAATCATTAATTAATCAATAATTACATGGAGCACATAAATTTTTACTACATATTCTTAAACAGGAGCAAAAATAACTTGAGATTAATTTTAGGATTTTGCTCAAAAACAAGTTTGAATTTAACATTATGTCTATGGACAAAATGGTAAAATTTTGATTGATTTGAGATTATTTCTAAAATAAGAGGTCAAGCATATTGACCATATCATGACACAAACTCCCGCAGTTGATGAGAATTTTGATATATCATTTGAATTTTTAGACCGAATATATTTTGAGATATTCGAGTTTACTTTTGCGGAGTCGATTAATCTCCACCCTATACAACAATAACTTAAGTGCTTAAAACTTATAGCTTTTATTGAATAGTCTATTTAGTCATATAAATAGGTACACTATAACTCAGAATTAAGTTACAGTAAGAATTATAGGTGAACACAATTTGATAATTTAATTTTGCTATCTAGTCAATTTAAATACAGTAAAAGACCATTTGGGTAAAGTTATTGGGTTTTAGCATTTGGTTCACACAAATGACCCATTCATATAAATGATCATGCTAAAAACATGTGGTAGACTTTATGTTAATTTGACTAATAAAATAATTTTAATTTAACTTTACGCTAAAAAGTTACCTAAATTGTATATTTGCCGTTTTGTAGTTCAAAGTAAATTCAATGCGGTTTTCTTTATTAGTTTTTATTACTAGACTAGATGATAACCTGACATCGAATTCGGCCATATTGATCATTATTGTTGGTAAATATAAACTTATTCAATATTAACATATGATATATAAAATCAATGTAGAATTTAACGTAGAATCAGAATATAGTAATATCACATCAGTGAAGTTAAAAGATTTTTAACCACTATTCTGATATGAATAATGTGGTTTATAGGATCGTGAGGCCCCCCTCCCCCTCTCTTCCCTTCCCCTTCCTTCCCCCTACCTTATGGAATTTAACATAAGATTTTATGTTAATCCTATTGCTATACTTTAACATGGGGAGCTCTCATAGGTTTAACATGGGGACGCTTTAACATGGGTTTCTATGGAATTACAGTTTAAGTCTATGGCACAGGGATAACATGGGTAATTCTAAGTCTATGGCATAGGAATAACATTGGTAATGCTAAGTCTATGGCATAGGGATAACATGGGTAATGCTAGGTCTATGGAAGTAATGCTATTTCAATGGGATAATGCTTGTTTTATGGAAATATACTAAATGAATCTGACATAATAATTCAAACATAGGAATAACATGGGCAATGCTAAGTCTATGGCATAGGGATAACATATGTTTTCTTACTCGTCCCCTACCTAACTTATACAGGGGGTAATATAAAGTTTTATAAACTAAATTTAAATTGTTTATTATTGAACCTAATCCAGTATATTGTGAATTAAAAATAAATTATTTTATTACGCTTATAACAAGAATTAAATAACAGTATGTATAGGTTAATTTATGTGCAAAAAATTGCATGAACTCTGCACTATTAATAAATAAAGACTATGCAATAACTATGTTGTCATAGACTTCTGCTGTCAAAAGTGAATGATGTGAGGGTGGTCAACATACATATAATCACAATATTCATATTTCAATTGTGGTTAATAAATCACAATATTTTGTCAATATGAAGCTGGAATGCTTTAGCTGGAATGTCACCAATTTTAGATTATTGTTGACAACTCTAATTGACCACAACTATGCAACATTTTTAACTAAAATTAAGTATGAAGAATATGGTTTATAGGATCGTTCTTCACTACCTGCTCTACCCTCGGCTCCTTAGCTCTATGGGATTTAACATGGGATTACAGCGTAAGTCTATGGCTATACTTTTACATGGCATTCTTGAGTTTATGGGGAATTAACATGGTATTACAGTTTAAGTCTATGGCTATACTTTAACATGGGTAATGCTAAGTCTATGACAAAGCTAATCCTATGGGTAATGCCAAGTCTATGACATAATTAACATAAGCAATGCTAAGTCTATGACAGTGCTAACTGTTTGAATAATGCTAAGTTGATTGCATAGGATTAACATTGGCAATGCTAAATTTATGGATAATGCTAACTTACCAAGACTATTGCTAATCATATGGATTAATGCTAAGTCTATGGACAATGTTAATTCTATAAAGAGTGCTAATCTTATGGACACTTATTAAAATTGTAGATAATGCTAGCCTATTCTTAAGCAATACCCGAATTGTGGTTATTGTATAGAATTGTTATGTGATTCTTGTTTAAATCTAGCATGGTTATAGACTTGTTGTGTTCCTATAAAACTTACGTTAAAGCATTCTCTCATATTATTAACATTAAGAAAAAAACCCTTTCTTTTGAGATATCGAACTCTCATACAAAATAATTTTGCATGAGTTAAACATTTTTCCATCAAATAACATTAATACAATGTTAATCCTATGGATTGGCCTTAGCATTAGCCTATGTTAAAGTAATGCCATAAAAGTAAATAAGGCGGGACAATTTTTTCAACCACATTATTAATATCTGAAATGTGTGTTAAAATTCCAAAGTTACAAAATCTTAAAGGAAGAGACACAATGTGTAGAACAGGACAGATATATACTAACGCAGTACTAGGCAGCTTTTAATAAAAATCTTTTATTTTAGTTTTTAGCTATACATTATTTATAGTAAATTTTAAAACATTAGTCACAAATACCATTACATTTGTTTATAAAATATTACACATAATGCAACTCACTACTCTCTTTATTGGATAACGGCATATTTGAGTGCATTGTGATAATGATAAACTTATTAGAAAGTATCGGGTGGAGATTAATGGACTATACCATTACAAAGTCGAATAGCTCAAAAAATATTCGGTCTAGAAATTCAAATGATATACCAAAATAGTCATCAACTGCGGGAGTTTTTGTTATGATATGGTCAATATGCTTGACCTCTTATTATTGAAGTAATCTCAAAACTACCAAATTTTTGTCATTTTGTCCATAGACACAATGTTAAATTCAAACTTATTTTTGAGCAAAATCCTAAAACAAATCTCAAGTTATTTTTGCTCCTGTTTAAGAATATTCAATCAGAATTTTTGTCTTGTGTGTAGTTTTTGCATTATAAAAGATTTGTTGCAAAAGTTGTGTATTTTGAGATCATATAAATCTGAAATATTGAAAAATCATTAATTAACAAAAAACAACATACAGCACAATAATTTTGATTACATATTCTTAAACAGGAGCAAAAATAACTTGAGATTTGTTTTAGGATTTTGCTCAAAAATAAGTTTGAATTTAACATTATGTCTATGAACAAAATGACAAAAATTTGGTAGTTTTGAGATTACTTCTATAATAAGAAGTCAAGCATATTGACCATATCATAACAAAAACTCCCGCAGTTGATGATTATTTTGGTATATCGTTTGAATTTCTAGACCGAATACTTTTCGAGTTATTCGACTTTGTAATGGTATAGTCCATTAATCTCCACCCTGTATGTTGCCCTATAATGCGGGCAAATGCACCATTATTCACGCTGTGCTCAGTGATGTACTAAACTTAATAAACTACAATCATGCCACTAAAATTGTCAACAAAAATATTCCTATATAATTTACATTAAAATTTTTATATGAGCAGCGCATACAATGAGCGATTCGTTAACCGCGTTGTTCATACCCATCAACTATGTCGGGCCCGTCAACGCGTCCATCGGTTTGGCACAAGTGCTCAAACATAGCGGCCATCGAGTGGTCTTCGCGGCGAGAAATGAGTGGTCAAAGCGATTGAAAAGTCTTGACTTTGAGGTCGAGATATTGGGCGAAGAGACGGCTGGAGTGGCCGTGGATTCGGCCGACGCTAACGCACAGCAAATAACGTCCACTTTCGTGGACAGCACACCGTTGGCGAAGGCCTTGCACTGCATGTCCACCGTATTGACGGTTACCATAAGCGAAGCCCATAAAGACGAGCCCATACTTAAGGCGCTCATTAAACGCCTCAAACCGGACGTTATTATCACCGATCATGTCATTACTCTGCCATCGATTGCCGGTTCCGATATTCCCTGGATATTCAGTTATAGCGCTAATCCGTTGTCTTTGGACACGGGTTACGAAGACAAACGTCTCCCGCCATCCATATTAGGTCTCAAATATTTGTACATTTATTTATGTCGTAAACTATTTTTAATTAACATAATAGATTGTGATTTAATTATTATACTGTATATTTTGTTACAACTTTTTAGGTTTGCCCATAAATAGCGACAAACATTTATGGGAAGAATACAGACAACAGTTAAGAGACGCGCGAAGAGATGGTTGGTTGAAATATAGGGATTGGCTCATCACTAATGGCTGTCCGTTAGTTCCCGAGGAATTCCAGTTCTGGATTCCCTCGCCTTTCGCTAACCTCTATATGTTTCCCGAAGAACTCGATTACACGGATGTCAGGCCTTTGCCAAACACTTTCCATCGCTTTGATTGTATGAAACGTATGGCAAATGAAGAGACGTTTGAATTGCCGGACAAACTCAACAATAGGTCCGGAAAATTGATTTATCTATCGTTGGGTTCAATGGGTTCAGCAAATGTGCCGCTAATGAAAAGATTGATTGACATTTTGGCCAAATGTGAGCACAAATTCATTGTCTCGAAAGGCGTTAAACACAATGAATACGAATTGGCGGCCAATATGTGGGGCGAGAGGACTGTCCCGCAGCTGAAAGTGTTGCCAATCGTAGACTTAGTCATAACACACGGCGGCAACAATACGGTCACCGAAAGCGTGTATTTCGGGAAACCAATGATAGTTTTGCCCCTATTTTACGATCAATACGACAACGCTATGAGAATCGATGAAAAGGGTTTCGGCGTTCGTCTCAATCCATACGAGTGTTCGGAATCACAACTCCTTTCAGCGATAGATACGCTATTAAACGACACAAAACTTAAGCAAAAGCTGACAAAAGTGTCACAAAGAATCCAAACCGAGAATAATATCAAGACTATTGTTAAAATCGTTGAGAGTTTGGTTAAATAGAGGGAGAATTGAAATTTTAATTACAATATACTATTCTCAACACACGTTTTAAAATGTAGTTAATATCAGTACATGTATTCAATATATCCCTCAATCAATTATGATGGTAATTAAATTTTTAAAACTCTTGTAGTTTAATATTCACGGCTAACAAAAAGTTGTTCCTTTGTTGCAACTAAATAAACAGAGTTATTAATGAGCAATAAAGTTATCATTATAATGTGTGGATTTTTATGTGTCCGCCTTATTAATAACGTACAATAAATTATATTACCGCACTTATAATTGAGTAATTACAAACAATACTAAATTTTGACATTGTGAACAGTTTATTAAATCATAATGTTTAACTATAATGTAAATTTTAAATATTACATCGTAAAACAATACATAACCCGCACTTGTCGATAACATGCACATAAGATTTTTCGAAAAACTTTTTCTTTAGATAACCCGCGGGTTATGCAGGGAACTTTAAGTAATTTTAAATATAAAATTACAATACGATTGCAACTCAATTAAAACAAGTCAAATATTTATATAAATCAAAATTTAAAAATAACAATTCTTAAACGCGTTGTTCAATAACACGTCCCGTGTCTCGCATACAGCGCTGGGCGTCGACCATATCGTCGCACACCCGGAGCCCAATCGCCGCCAAACGCTGGGCATAGCGTTCATCAAATCGAGTCGACTGTTCGTCAGTCATGAGTGAACGCCAATCGCCGACAACAGCCTTACGGACAAACCGGGAGCCGGCGTTCACACCAAACATAGCCAGCAATTCAGTCCTATTAGCCATCGGATTGTCTCGCATCGACTCCGCAGAAGAGTGAGCGACGATTGTGTCCACCGTTTCGTCTGTAAACTGTTTGCCGAGAAAGCGGGCGATTGTGCGGACCATTGCCGGCAAATCTGCCATCAATTCCTCGTACGCGACGAACAATACGTTCGGGTAGTTTTGGCCATAAGTGAGCCAGAAGTCGGTCACGTGTGACAACCAATCGCCGTCCAGATATCCCTCCAAAAAGTATTGGCAATACTCATCCAATTGTACGGTTGGACCGCATGTGAAGTCACTAAACAGTTGCTGATAGTGATAGAAGGAGACGCACACGTCCTTTGGATTCCGCATTATATATATCATCTGTGAATTTAATTATAATGCATTAATATATGTTCTCTCTCTCTCTCACTCACTCACTCACTCACTCACTAACCTTTCCTGTTTTCTGCTCAAAACGTGGTAAAAATTTGACTTCTAAATGGTTTAATGTAATTCTGGGACCCGTTAACTGTTGTAAATAATTAGGTTTCAGATCCTTTGAAACGGGTGTATAAATGTTGGGCACCCTTTCAGATATGGGCCGATCGTTCACTCTGTCAACCACTCCGTCGGCCATTATTAGGGACACAATCTCTGAGAGCCAAGTGTTGCCTGACTTCATGTAACCGCACAGCCATATGTCTGTCGCTCTAACAATCATGTTCTTTACCTTGGGTAAATATTGCAAACTTACAGGGTCATTTACAAATAATCTGCCCTCGTATTCAGTGAACATATTCGGCGGATAATGAGCTAAATATTTAGCACGTGCTTTAATTTGTTCGCTTGACATCAACTTTGAATTCATAATTATAGTAATAATTAAGATTATTTTAGGTTTCTATATAGATTTTTTAAAATTACTTTTAACAATAATTATTTTTATATTAAGCCAACAGTATTTATGTCGTAAGTTTAGCTGATTGTTTATAAGTTATAACATTAACAAGTTATAATAAGTTATAAATTGTTATAAAGTTGATCCGCGCGATCGCCTGCTATCGTAACCACAATTAGTGGACAATAAAGGGTACACTTTGTACACAATATACAAACAATAACTTTATTACTAATATAAGAAATAGAGAGAAATGCCTTCGAAGAGGACTTGAGAATGACTGCAAATATACATTGAATAGAGCGAGTCTTAAATAGAAATAATTGACATTATAATGATTACCAGGTAATGAGTAGAATATACTCATATCGTATGATTATATGGTGTGGTGATTGGATGAGAGCCCATCATATTCACGATGACCACTCACTGGAAAATTACCAGGAGTGATAGACTCAGATTCACGACAAAATTATAACATTACAATGCAATTTTATTTATTATAATCAGAGAATTGCAAAATAGTTGTATATCACATCCCTAATAGTCTTTATAATAGTTAGTAAAAATAGTTAACTAGTTATTTAAATAATTCATTATTATTTTGCAATTTTTAAATTTAACCCTTATTGCGCATCGTGGCACAGTTTTGTAAAATTGTGTGTTTACTAATTATTTAAAAATTAATTATAGGCTCTAGTTACAAAAAATTCCAGGAATGCCTCACAAATGATAAGCTATAAATATTTGTAAACTTTTATAGAAATTAGATAATTGTAAGTATGATTAAAACTTGATTTTATAAAAAAATAGTGCTATTGTGCACTATACGTGAGTTTATTTTCATTGCATATACAGCATTAACCGCATAAACAGCCTATACTTCTGTTATTCCATTATAAGATGACTTTTATTATCATTCTCAGCAGTCATGACTAAAGCATTGACTTTAAGGTGACAAAAACCAGTCTTAAAGTCACTATAAAAGTTACTTAAAAATGGCTAAAAAGGTGCTTAAAAGGTGCTAAAAAGATGTTTAAAAATTGACAAAAAGTTGTGAAAGTTATTTATTTTGCATTAAAATAATACATTCAAAGGTCAATAGCCTTTAACTATGTTCCCCAACGTGTCATAACCGGTTCGGGAAGCAATGGAATTCCGGGGCATAAATTCCGAAACTTTGATATACAATTTGGTGATTTCTTAAATGCTTTTTTAGCGTTAGTTATTTAGTGATTTAATAAATTGTGAAATTGATGTTTGTTTTAATTTAATTTGATAACATTTTTTTGTGAGATTTTGAATTGATGTGTTGATCATTGAGTATTTTGTGATTTATCTATTAATGATGTATAAAATTTGCAAAATAGATGAAAAGTTACTATAAAGTTACTAAAGGTGAGAACGTCCCAAAAGGTGCTAAAAAGGTGAAATTAAATTCTTCCAAAATACTCCTAAGGGGGTATATGGTATGCCCCCAAACTTTCAGGAGGTTCTTCGCTTTCGGAACAAAAAGTTATTTAACTTCAAATCAATGCTTTAGTAATGACTAAAACCTACATCAAAATATAATAATTCTATCGTTATATTGCTAAATATTATATTCAAATTAAACGCTGCTAACAAATAGCAATACATTTGTATTTTATTACAAACTGCATATGTTTTGCTCCTAGATAACAATTAGGAAATATTTAAAAATGTTTGTAAAGATTGATGATTTTTGATTTATAAAAAAACGTAATTGTTCTCGATTTGTTTTCTATAATTACTGCTTATTTATTCAAAATCCTCTTTGACTATAACTTAACATGGTCGCTCTATTGAACACTAAAACAATTAAAATTATTTTAGCCCCTGTGTATGTAATTAAATATGTTTGCCTAAACATATTTCATATACAGTATGTAACGGCTTTATAAAAAATGACATAGCACAATTTACAAAAACAAAAACTTTGTATTACTGCAAACAAAATGACATTAGAAATTGAGAATGACTACATAAAAACTGAATTTAAAAAACAACTATTAGATAAATAATAAATTGCACTTATAAATTGCAAAGTACATTTGTAGAAACCTGCAGTGTATTAGAAAAATATTGCCTTATAAAAAACCTTTTTATTTGTTCTCAATATAAAATGTCAATCCGTAGCCTAACTGCGCTGTTCATCCCGTTTGACGGCGTGGGACACGTGAACCCATTGGTAGCCTTATCTGAAACACTACTGACTGCCGGACACCAAACCGTATTTCTAGCGACAGACCGATGGCGGCAACTGTTGGACACATCCCACCCGAACACCAGAGCCATATTCTACGCCAGTCAACCTCAACGGCCAGAATCGGCGCCGACCGAGCCTGCTCACTTTCAAGGCCAGCTACAATTGCAGCATGGCCTACTAGGCGACAGCGGTCCGGTGGACAAAATGCTCACGAAGGTTAAACATATGGTATATTATTTGGTGACACAGATGCCCACAATTGACGCTCACATCGAACGCGCCATACGTGAGGTTCGGCCGGACGTTATTGTTGTAGACTGTGCGCGGGTTTTGCCGTCAATTGAACGGTCGTCTGTGCCCTGGGTTTGCGTCAATGTGTGTAACCCTTTGGTTTACATACTTGACTGCAGAACGCCTCCATATGGTACAGGTTTGTTATGTTTTCAATTTATTTATTAAATTAAATAATTTATATTAAAAAAAACTTTTAGATTTATAATATAATATCGTTAATTAAACCATGACAATTACTATTATGCTAGCCAACTGTCAACTATTTAAGTGGACATTCCACTATTTTAATCTTGTGTACACTAAGAATTGAAAGTTCAATAGTAAACATTGTGATTTCCAGTATTTTATTTCCAGATTTAAAAAATTAATAGATTTTAGCTAAAATTATACAATAGCCATAATACTAGTAATGTGCAAGGTATATAATTTTCACAAATAGTATTTTAAGAATTTTAAATGTTTTTGACAACAATTAGCTTTATTAACCACAATTCAGTATGAATAATGTGGTTTATAGGATCGTTACTATTAATTAGGCTATACTTTAACATGGGTAATTCTGATCCTATGGACAATGATAAGTCTATGGACAACGTTAAGTCTATGACATAGGAACAACATGGGTAATGTTAAGTCTATGGTATAGGGATAACATGGGTAATGCTAAGTCTATGGCATAGGAATAACATAAGTAATGCTAAGTCTATGGCATATGCATAACATGTGTAATGGTATATCAATGGGACAATGAAATTATATGTGAATTTGACATAAATAATAAAACTAATTGTTGTCAAAAACATTCAAAATTTTCA